AAAGTACCCAAGTGATTTAGAAACCTAAGTTTCATTTTCAAAAGTGGGCTAAAAACCTGCGTCTCATTTAAGATCAATGGGACTTAACTTTCTAATTGCTTAAGGCACTTTTAAAAATAGGATTTAATGAGATTTAGTCACTTGGATGCTTCTGAAACTTTGACCCAAAAGTTTACTACAATAAGGCGAAAACAAGATGGACTGAGCAGGGTTGTGCACTCCAAGTTAAACTGGTGGAACTGTCTCATATGGATAAAGTATTTGTGCCAAAATTGGTAAAACTTTCAGGATTTGGGAACATATTCATGATAACTTGGCAGCTGGCAGAGATGTGGGTTTTCGAGAAAATTTTGAATTGGAAAATTTTCCAGAAAAATTTCCAGTGCCCTAAATAGAGTGTGATCTTATTTAGCATGCTTATTTGACTTATTTAGAAAACAAAACTAAAAAAGTATCCCCATGTTTATTTTACGTCCCAATAGCCACACGGATTTGAACGGAAATATTTGATTAGGAAAAAAAATAAATACAGCACACTTAATGTGGTTTAAAAGTTATATTCAAACAAATTCAAAGCTTTATGTGGAAAGAAATTATTTTTATTGGAATACGTATAAAAATGTAAGGACAATACACAATAGCATGTACTTCCCTTACATTGTTTGTTTAAATTTAAGAAAAAAAGCAAAGGCACTGAAAACTTGACACACTAATTTTAGCACAGCCAAAGAACTGTGTGTGCCATGCCGTGGTTGTCCACTCATCTACTTCAGCAGAGTTTAACTCTCTTCCACTAAGGTCATTGCGGCAACCTCCAGTTTCACTGTGACTGTCTGTAGAATTGCTTGTACTACTTAGTTCCATTTCAGAATCAGATTGAGGCAAATCTGATTCAGAACTACTTGAACCACATTCTCTTTTGCTAAAGGATGGTTTTACCTCTGAGTCTATGGGCAAGGGCAACTTATCATCACACTGCATCTTTTTCACTACTTGTGCTTCTGACTGATTCTTCAAAAGCAAGAGATTCTGAGAAATAGAAACAAGTGGTGTTTTCATTTGGTTTTGATTTGACCTGCACAGCCAATTAGGTGATTTTATAACTTGACTTTTCGTTTGATTATTATGTGAGTGTATTTACTCTTGGTTTACAAATCAGTAAAACATACATGTACTCTCCCACACGCTTCCTAGGGATAATCGCCTGAAAAAACATTAATTACAACTTTGAAACTGCCAAGCTTACCTAATATTGTATTGGCATGCATTCATTGTTACTAATGAATTTTATGAAACAATTAATTTTTAGGAATGGACAATTTACCATGGAAAAATAAAGCACTGGAGAATTTCCTGCCCCACATCTCTGGCAGCTGGGGTAACAGGGTCCAAAAAAACTAACTTGCCCCCTCAAAGAGCATGGAATAGATCATGGTGCATTATTTTAAAACAGTTGTATTTCTGGACTAGATTTAGTTTTAATCCTGGGCATCTGTATACTGTATTTGTGTTAAGTAGAGCTATACTTCATTAAGTTGGTTTTTGTCTACAAGAGCTCATACCTCTCTGAACCAAGTTAGCTCTGAGGTGCCACCTTGCCCTACCTTCTGCCTTTCTTTTGTTTTGTAATTTACATTACAAACCTTAAATTACAGAAATCTTAAATTATTCTAACGTAATCTTCTGGCTAGCCTAGTGTGCAGTGCATTCTGCATCCTGTCATTTGTTTTCATATTTCCTTTATTGTGGCTTAGCTTTTTAAATGGTGCAAAACAAAGGCAATCATGCAATGTCTCCTTCAGGTTTGAACTATTGCTGCTGCATTGAAGCTGACTGGTTGCCCCAGAATAACCGAGGGGAGGGGAGATGGAATTTTGTTTTGCTGTTGTAATACTTTTTTTGGTTGACCTTTGTTTCAAGTCAGTTCACTGCTAGCATACAACTGGAAGACATTTTACCAAAGTTCATCCATTATTGGTGGGTCAACTAACTCTCATGATATGGGACAGTTAGATCCTTTGAAATGCAACACATCAACACTTTAGGCTTAAAACCTGGCAAGGAGTGAGTCTGCACCAGTATGATAAGTTTGGGTGTGCACGAAAAATTTCAGGCTGTGTCATAAGGGTGAGCACAGAGTGAATTACAGGTTTGAAGCATCCGGAAGAGACATTTACGACAGATTGCATCAGAGGAGTGGAGCTGTGGGTGTTGATGGTGTTTGTACTGCAGCATCTTTCTTCTGTGCCAAGCTGTTGCTGCAGAATAATGCCTGATCATATTTGATAGGTAATGCCTCTTACGGTAATTGTTCAAATGGACATTGTCATAGACGGCACAGCTTCCCTCTGCAGCAGTACCTTGGATCTGGGAACGCTCTCATGACTCTAACTCAGTGGTTCTCAACCTTTTCAGTGTCAGGGGATCCCTCCACAACTTTTTTTTTTATTGTGGCAGCATCTTCAGTTGAGAACCAGTGTTGTGTTCAGCTTACCTCAGTGCTTCTCAACTGGGTGTTATTGCTGGGTAAAACTACCTTGTGTGACTGCTGCACAGCCAGATCTGGAAGGGCTGTGGTATATCCATGGGCTCCTTCTGCATTAGGGTTCTTTGATCAGCCTGAAGTAGTCAGGACAGCTTGCTCATACTCCGGACTTTCTCAGTCTGACCCTGCAGTGTCTCCTGGAAACACAGGTACACAGCCCAGATGGAAGACGTGTGGAGGGGGCCGAGGGAGTGCCTGGACTGGACAGGGAAGAGCTGCATCCTGAGTCAGCTATCCTGCCTGCTTTAGACTGATCGAAGAACCCTAATGCAGGAAGAGCATGTGTGCCACAGTGCTATGCATGGGGCAGTTTTACCTGGCCGTGGTGGTACTTGCATTGAGGCACAGGGGAAACACCATGTATCCGGGTCCATGAAGGCAGTTTTCCTTAAGCGCTCCTGGAGATAACTGTTTTTCTGGTGTGGTTTAGTACCCGCTGAGGTTTTGAGGCTTAAAGCCCACTTTATGGAAATGGGAGGCTCCTCCCTAGCTTGCTCCTGCAGCCTTACAGCTGAGAGCAGGTGAAACTTGGGGGCATCTGAACCCCGAGCTTCCAGGCTTGGGTCTGCATGTAGGATGCCTGCCAAAAGACTTTGGAAACATCTGAAACCTCTGGTGGGGGTGGAGGATGTTTGCCAGTTGTAGGGCCACTTATGGTTCTGGACTGACTCATGGATTTGGACTTGATTTGGCTTGAAACAGGAAAAATGTCTTTAAAAACAAACAAACCAACCCTGAGGGGGTCTTGCAGCACCCAGGTTGAGAACCACTGTTCTGCCTAAAGCTTTTATTGTGCCTTCTCTGAGATGTTACACACAGGAGTTTGTAGCTTGACACACAAGACATAGACGCACAAATCATCTTTCTTACTTAACTTACAGTAAGCAGGTTTTTACTCAGCTGGAGAAGTCAAGAAAGATCAACAGATCTTGAAATTGCAGTGAGCAGACTGTAAGGGGTTTGGACATCCACTGCAGGGGAACATCAAAACCTTTTTCAATTTTACATGAAACACCCAATATAGCAAAATTGCATTAGAAGATGAACAAAGAAGGCTTTCTTAGGAGACTTCCAACATATCTTGCATTTACTTGAGTCATGACTTGTGAGGATAAAGTAGTGTTTCATGGGTTATGAGCTAAGTATACCTGTGGTAATATCTCAATGATACTTCACTGCACCAGGGCTGGCAAACAGCAATTGAGTTCCTGGTGCTTACTGGTGCACACCCAACACTGGACAAAGGTGACTACATTACATCTGTTTTGGGGTGTAGAACACAATACAGGTGAGACCTGTGCTTTATTCTGACATCCCTTAGCCTTCCCATATTCCTTTGATGTTGACATTTCCTAAGAGTCTTCAGGCAAGGAAACAAGAAAGGAGTTGCTTCCTTCTTCACTAAGTAACTTATCTAGACTAACAATAGTTACTTAGAAATTAATAGCTTAAATGCCTGGCTGCCTTTTGTTTCCCAAGGTGGTATGAGACCAGAGTTCTCAGTTTTCTTTTCTACTGGAATTGCACTTAACATGATGGCTTTTGTTTGAGACCTCATGGTTCTAGGACATTTTTTCAAGTTACATGTTTCCAGGCTAGTTAAAACAGGCCTGAAGCTGCAGTGTGATCCAAGGAGTTGGTGAGATCTGTCTTGGCTTAAGAAAGGAATCTGCCTCTCTTTTGTTGATGTTATTGCTGTAATCTTTGTGTGGGTGAATTCACTGTTTGCAGGGAAGGTGCCAGCCTGCCAACTGGGGAAAGCCAAGCCCTCTGTTTAACCAGAGAACAGATATAGCATAAGTGATAAAAAACAGGCATCTCTACTTTGTTTCACTAACGTGCACATCCCCTGACTTAGAGAGCACTCTATGGATGTGCCTGCGCTGTACAAAAAGCACTGTCCTAAGCCAGGTCATCTACCTTGCTTTAAAAATGGTAGTAAAGAGAAAGGAACCTGGATTTTAACTTGCATTTGTCACTTGAGTTTAGGCCTGAATAGGAGACTCGCCCATGTTAAAAACTCAAGTAATTTGGTTTTTGCTGGTATTTGAACCCAAGTTAACTAACTTGTGCTAGTTAACCCATGTTGTTAAGAACAGACCTTTCTTAGGATGGAAGTTCCACTCAGAACAGGTTAGACAAACATTGTCCAGGATAATTTAGCCAAGGGTGTTCTTGTCTTGATCAGGGGGTTGGACTAGGCGACCTCTTGCGGTCCATTCTAAGCCTGTTTTCTGTGATTCTGCAATTACTTCATCTCCCTAATGACCTACCAGCTGGATTACTTATTAGTGATGCATCTGTTGGTTTGTTTAAGGTAGACATATCTCCACTAGGAGGTAGACTAATACCCAACTCCTTTAGGGAACATATGACTAGAAGGGTAGTCCTGGATCATTGAGGCTACTTGCTATCTCAGGTGACCATGCTGTGTAATCCATTTTATAAATTAAGATGGAGGCTGATTAAAATGTGTAGGTTTCTTGCCCCTTTACTTGAAAACCTGCTTCAGCACCTCACTTCTCTCCTAGTTAAAAGTAAGTTTACTCTTTTCAAATGTAAATTTAGTAATGGCTGATTTATTATTGTCTAAATAATGTACACAAAGTCTCACAGCTGGGTGCAAAACTTGACCTGTAGCTGAAACTTGCTCTTACAATGATAGTGTCCGAGGTCTTCATCCCATGCAGAAGGATGGCCACCAGTGTGAAGACAAGCATGAGAGGCCCGTAGAGCTCACCTGCAATCTTCTACAGGGGGAGACAGACAGGGAAGGGGCTTGGTAAG